ATCGCAATCCTCAAATGTTTTTTAATTCATTAAATATAAACGGTCTTTTCTCGTACAATGGGTCTGGTATAGTTGTATTGGCCTATCAGTTGGAAACACGTGGTTCGTCTACAATTGCAAATGGCGGAGGTGCCGTGGTAGTTATTGTCGTAAAATTAGCTGGATACGGTGCACGTGAGAAAATTATTCATTAAATTTAGTTTTCGAGCGTCAGCTTAATCTGGTAAAATGCGAGACGAAAAAAATGATAGATAGAGCCTTATGACCCACTGTAGAATGATGCCGAATAATACATCAACGACGTAGTTTATCGGCAGATAAACGTGTTTCCATTCTCGGCTGACTGAGGAAAGGTTTGAGAGAGCATTTAAAGAAGAGGCGGTCGAACCAATAGTGAGTAGGAAGTGTGCTGCAATCAAGACGAACAATACCGATCATAAGTGGACAGCTAATAACCCCTAATTAACCCCGGGTTACGCGCTGCTGTGTTGACTCCTTGCTGGGAAGGGGTAGCGGCCTCCTACTGCTGTGCGTAGTCAAACATTGTCTTCTAACATGCGGCTACACGACGGTTGCATTGTATTAATAAAGTTATACCTATTCATAAGGAAGGGGGCGGATGGTAATCTTACGAGAATTAAATCAGTTATCGATCATACGCGTACCAATAGTCGTGTTTTTTTTTTAGCTATACGGTATATATATATATTTATGAGTGCATGAATTGAGAGGAGTCGCCGAGGCTAGTTAGAAATGATTATTTGATTTGAGAAGCCTTCTTCACAGAGTCTGAGGCCTTAGGTCTCGTTCAATTTGGAAGACATCAGGTAAATAATTATTGTACCATGTGCAATATCTAAAATATATTAATCTATTCCTTTACTTTTTACAGTGGTAGTAATAATTTTGTTTCCGTTGTACACCGGTTTAATCCCTATCTGGTGAATAGAAGGGGGCGGACAAACAATGGAGGGCCGTATAAATCCCTTCAAAATTCGAACGCACAAACACAATAGCTTAGGTGGAATAACACAATACTTAAGACGAGTGAACCCCATGACGCCGATATCTGTGGTCCAGTGCGACAAGACAATCCGCTGTAACTAGGTGTAATTAACTGCAGGATACATCAGCCAGAAGGTTCCCATTGTTTGTTGCGGCGATAAGATTATAGCTTTAAGAGGCTAGATCCCATGCTAACGCGTGCCACGCGTAGCGAACTGTCCTTTTGTTCACTAGTTTGGCACGCACAGCTGATTATGTTTTTAGTGTTGCTTACAAACTGCTAGTTAATTTTGTTATCAGTTATTTCATCCAATATGAAATTTCCGCAGTCAAAAATTGAACTAAGTATGTTTGAGTGACATGCATGAGCGTCAGCATCAATCTGTCTCAAAAAATTCTTATTGCATTAATTTATAAATGTATAATTTATTGATAAACGTACTGCATTCAAGTATTTATGAAACATGAATGATAATGAATGAGGAATAAGGAAATAATATATTACTTATACTATACTTATACATGTATTATAATATTGAAATTAAATGAGGTGAATTGACAGAGCCGCAAGGACAGTCCAACTCCAACGTGCAACCGGGGGAAGTCTGAATGTGTGATCATACAATATATGGAAGTACGGTCAATTAACAGTGTAAATCATCAGTTAAAGAGGAGGGGGTCTTACTATAGCTCATTATCTATTGGTAAACTGTTATTATCTCTTGAACAAGCTTAAACCATGCCTATACAATTACTGTGATCATCGTCACTTTAGCTACTCGCCTATAATGCGTGTTGAACTACAGACAACTTATAAATGTTATCTGTGTTACTGTGTAAATGAACACATTTAGTTAAATTATAACGAAGTCGGTGATTTAATCCATCCAACATATTTATATTTGTTCTTTTAAAACCAGTGTCAGGTTAACGCCAAATCAAAGCAAGCCTTGCAGACTGGTTTTGTTTAAACTGTCGTATATTAAGTAAAGCTAAGTAAAGCCCGTTTCTACTTCGCAGTGTTCATCCAAGCTATAAAACTGCATGAAGGATAACAAGACTCCGTAGCGAATTAACTTTCACAATGCCCTGTGCTTCAGGTTTCCAGGAGTCCCGTGTAACACAATAATATCGAAGAGTATGGCCTGAGAGTAATACAAATATGAGGCCGTGTATGAAAGACTTTACAAATTA